AAAAAAGCAAGGGCGTTGACTGCAACAATATGGCAAAGCAAAAAATTGAAAGCAACACAGTGAGACAATATAAAAGCTAACAAAATCTAAGGCGAGAGCATGGAGGAAAAAAAAAGTAAACCAGAGTGAAAGTCACGAAGCAAGTATGAAAGAAGGGCAAAGTAAAGCAACGCCCGAAAACCAAGAGCCAAGGAACAGAATGAACAACCAAAAGGAAAGCAAACCAAAAAAAACAAACAAAGATGAAATGAACAAAGCAGAGCAAAGGAAAAGGAGCAGTAGAGAAAGCAAAACCAAGTAGAAAAAAGAAAGCAAACCAATGTGATGCAATGGAAAAACAGACAATGAAGGGAAAGACAAAGAACCAAAGCCCACCAACAGAACAGCAAAGCAATGGGATTCAATGTGACAGCAAAGCAAAGGTGACAAGAGACTGCGGTGCCGGCAAAAACTCACCATCCGTGCCTGGGAGGAGGTCAGGGTAGCTACTGGGCATGCTGCCACCTCCAGCAGAGATGCACGTCCTCAGCTGGTGCCCGTGGAGGAGTCTGCGGCTGCAAGCAGGACAAAACATCTCTCTGGAGGAAGGCAAAGCGCTGGTGGTCATGCCGAGGAGGAGGTCAGGGTAGCTACCGGGCACGGATGCTGCCAGGCATCTGAAGAAAAGCCTCAAGTCCACACTGAGGACAGAGGCAAGGACAGGGAGGATGTAAAAATGAACCGTCCAGAAGGCTAACGTCAGGTAAGTAAAGGCAAGGTAAGAGGAAGGAAGCAGCCATGCGGACAAGTAAGGAGGAAGAATCTAATGAAAGTAAAAGGAAAAGATGACAACAGAGAAGGCATACTACCAGAATGCAAAGGCATGGTCTGGAAAGAAAAAGAACCAACCAAAAAGAAAAATAAGCACTAGAAAGCAAAGCCAAAGGAGCAGGAAACAAAAGCCAAAAGGAAAAGAGCAAAGTAAAGGGAAAAAGTACAACAAAAAGCAAGGGCGTTGACTGCAACAATATGGCAAAGCAAAAAATTCAAAGCAACACAGTGAGACAATATAAAAGCTAACAAAATCTAAGACGAGAACAAGGAAATCAAAAAAAAAATTAAACCAGAATGAAAGTCAACAAGCAAATTGGAAAGTAGGACAAAGCAAAGCTACGCCCGAAAACCAAGAGCCAAGGAACAGAATGAACAACCAAAAGGAAAGCAAACCAAAAAAAACAAACAAAGATGAAATGAACAAAGCAGAGCAAAGGAAAAGGAGCAGTAGAGAAAGCAAAACCAAGTAGAAAAAAGAAAGCAAACCAATGTGATGCAATGGAAAAACAGACACAATAAACGGAAAGACAAAGAACCAAAGCCCACCAACAGAACAGCAAAGCAATGGGATTCAATGTGACAGCAAAGCAAAGGTGACAAGAGACTGCGGTGCCGGCAAAAACTCACCATCCGTGCCTGGGAGGAGGTCAGGGTTGCTACCGGGCACGGATGCTGCCAGGCATCTGAAGAAAAGCCTCAAGTCCACACTGAGGACAGAGGCAAGGACAGGGAGGATGTAAAAATGAACCGACCAGAAGGCTAATGTCAGGTAAGTAAAGGCAAGGTAAGAGGAAGGAGGAAGAATCTAATGAAAGTAAAAGGAAAAGATGAGAACAGAGAAGGCATACTTTCAGAAAGCAAAGGCATGGTCTGGAAAGAAAAAGAACCAACCAAAAAGAAAAATAAGCACTAGAAAGCAAAGCCAAAGGAGCAGGAAACAAAAGCCAAAAGGAAAAGAAAAAGAGCAAAGTAAACAAAGGGAAAAAGTACCAAAAAAAAGCAAGGGCGTTGACTGCAACAATATGGCAAAGCAAAAAATTGAAAGCAACACAGTGAGACAATATAAAAGCTAACAAAATCTAAGGCGAGAGCATGGAGGAAAAAAAAAGTAAACCAGAGTGAAAGTCACGAAGCAAGTATGAAAGAAGGGCAAAGCAAAGCAACGCCCGAAAACCAAGAGCCAAGGAACAGAATGAACAACCAAAAGGAAAGCAAACCAAAAAAAACAAACAAAGATGAAATGAACAAAGCAGAGCAAAGGAAAAGGAGCAGTAGAGAAAGCAAAACCAAGTAGAAAAAAGAAAGCAAACCAATGTGATGCAATGGAAAAACAGACACAATAAACGGAAAGACAAAGAACCAAAGCCCACGAACAGAACAGCAAAGCAATGGGATTCAATGTGACAGCAAAGCAAAGGTGACAAGAGACTGCGGTGCCGGCAAAAACTCACCATCCGTGCCTGGGAGGAGGTCAGGGTAGCTACTGGGCATGCTGCCACCTCCAGCAGAGATGCACGTCCTCAGCTGGTGCCCGTGGAGGAGTCTGCGGCTGCAAGCAGGACAAAACATCTCTCTGGAGGAAGGCAAAGCGCTGGTGGTCATGCCGAGGAGGAGGTCAGGGTAGCTACCGGGCACGGATGCTGCCAGGCATCTGAAGAAAAGCCTCAAGTCCACACTGAGGACAGAGGCAAGGACAGGGAGGATGTAAAAATGAACCGTCCAGAAGGCTAACGTCAGGTAAGTAAAGGCAAGGTAAGAGGAAGGAAGCAGCCATGCGGACAAGTAAGGAGGAAGAATCTAATGAAAGTAAAAGGAAAAGATGACAACAGAGAAGGCATACTACCAGAATGCAAAGGCATGGTCTGGAAAGAAAAAGAACCAACCAAAAAGAAAAATAAGCACTAGAAAGCAAAGCCAAAGGAGCAGGAAACAAAAGCCAAAAGGAAAAGAGCAAAGTAAAGGGAAAAAGTACAACAAAAAGCAAGGGCGTTGACTGCAACAATATGGCAAAGCAAAAAATTGAAAGCAACACAGTGAGACAATATAAAAGCTAACAAAATCTGAGACGAGAACAAGGAAATCAAAAAAAAAATTAAACCAGAATGAAAGTCAACAAGCAAATTGGAAAGTAGGACAAAGCAAAGCTACGCCCGAAAACCAAGAGCCAAGGAACAGAATGAACAACCAAAAGGAAAGAAACCAAAAAAAGACAAAGATGAAATGAACAAAGCAGAGCAAAGGAAAAGGAGCAGTAGAGAAAGCAAAACCAGGTAGAAAAAAGAAAGCAAACCAATGTGATGCAATGGAAAAACAGACACAATAAACGGAAAGACAAAGAACCAAAGCCCACCAACAGAACAGCAAAGCAATGGGATTCAATGTGACAGCAAAGCAAAGGTGACAAGAGACTGCGGTGCCGGCAAAAACTCACCATCCGTGCCTGGGAGGAGGTCAGGGTAGCTACTGGGCACGGATGCTGCCAGGCATCTGAAGAAAAGCCTCAAGTCCACACTGAGGACAGAGGCAAGGACAGGGAGGATGTAAAAATGAACCGACCAGAAGGCTAATGTCAGGTAAGTAAAGGCAAGGTAAGAGGAAGGAGGAAGAATCTAATGAAAGTAAAAGGAAAAGATGAGAACAGAGAAGGCATACTTTCAGAAAGCAAAGGCATGGTCTGGAAAGAAAAAGAACCAACCAAAAAGAAAAATAAGCACTAGAAAGCAAAGCCAAAGGAGCAGGAAACAAAAGCCAAAAGGAAAAGAAAAAGAGCAAAGTAAACAAAGGGAAAAAGTACCAAAAAAAAGCAAGGGCGTTGACTGCAACAATATGGCAAAGCAAAAAATTGAAAGCAACACAGTGAGACAATATAAAAGCTAACAAAATCTAAGGCGAGAGCATGGAGGAAAAAAAAAGTAAACCAGAGTGAAAGTCACAAAGCAAGTATGAAAGAAGGGCAAAGCAAAGCAACGCCCGAAAACCAAGAGCCAAGGAACAGAATGAACAACCAAAAGGAAAGCAAACCAAAAAAAACAAACAAAGATGAAATGAACAAAGCAGAGCAAAGGAAAAGGAGCAGTAGAGAAAGCAAAACCAAGTAGAAAAAAGAAAGCAAACCAATGTGATGCAATGGAAAAACAGACACAATAAACGGAAAGACAAAGAACCAAAGCCCACCAACAGAACAGCAAAGCAATGGGATTCAATGTGACAGCAAAGCAAAGGTGACAAGAGACTGCGGTGCCGGCAAAAACTCACCATCCGTGCCTGGGAGGAGGTCAGGGTAGCTACTGGGCATGCTGCCACCTCCAGCAGAGATGCACGTCCTCAGCTGGTGCCCGTGGAGGAGTCTGCGGCTGCAAGCAGGACAAAACATCTCTCTGGAGGAAGGCAAAGCGCTGGTGGTCATGCCGAGGAGGAGGTCAGGGTAGCTACCGGGCACGGATGCTGCCAGGCATCTGAAGAAAAGCCTCAAGTCCACACTGAGGACAGAGGCAAGGACAGGGAGGATGTAAAAATGAACCGTCCAGAAGGCTAATGTCAGGTAAGTAAAGGCAAGGTAAGAGGAAGGAGGAAGAATCTAATGAAAGTAAAAGGAAAAGATGAGAACAGAGAAGGCATACTTTCAGAAAGCAAAGGCATGGTCTGGAAAGAAAAAGAACCAACCAAAAAGAAAAATAAGCACTAGAAAGCAAAGCCAAAGGAGCAGGAAACAAAAGCCAAAAGGAAAAGAAAAAGAGCAAAGTAAACAAAGGGAAAAGGTACCAAAAAAAAGCAAGGGCGTTGACTGCAACAATATGGCAAAGCAAAAAATTGAAAGCAACACAGTGAGACAATATAAAAGCTAACAAAATCTAAGGCGAGAGCATGGAGGAAAAAAAAAGTAAACCAGAGTGAAAGTCACGAAGCAAGTATGAAAGAAGGGCAAAGTAAAGCAACGCCCGAAAACCAAGAGCCAAGGAACAGAATGAACAACCAAAAGGAAAGCAAACCAAAAAAAACAAACAAAGATGAAATGAACAAAGCAGAGCAAAGGAAAAGGAGCAGTAGAGAAAGCAAAACCAAGTAGAAAAAAGAAAGCAAACCAATGTGATGCAATGGAAAAACAGACAATGAAGGGAAAGACAAAGAACCAAAGCCCACGAACAGAACAGCAAAGCAATGGGATTCAATGTGACAGCAAAGCAAAGGTGACAAGAGACTGCGGTGCCGGCAAAAACTCACCATCCGTGCCTGGGAGGAGGTCAGGGTAGCTACTGGGCATGCTGCCACCTCCAGCAGAGATGCACGTCCTCAGCTGGTGCCCGTGGAGGAGTCTGCGGCTGCAAGCAGGACAAAACATCTCTCTGGAGGAAGGCAAAGCGCTGGTGGTCATGCCGAGGAGGAGGTCAGGGTAGCTACCGGGCACGGATGCTGCCAGGCATCTGAAGAAAAGCCTCAAGTCCACACTGAGGACAGAGGCAAGGACAGGGAGGATGTAAAAATGAACCGTCCAGAAGGCTAACGTCAGGTAAGTAAAGGCAAGGTAAGAGGAAGGAAGCAGCCATGCGGACAAGTAAGGAGGAAGAATCTAATGAAAGTAAAAGGAAAAGATGACAACAGAGAAGGCATACTACCAGAATGCAAAGGCATGGTCTGGAAAGAAAAAGAACCAACCAAAAAGAAAAATAAGCACTAGAAAGCAAAGCCAAAGGAGCAGGAAACAAAAGCCAAAAGGAAAAGAGCAAAGTAAAGGGAAAAAGTACAACTAAAAGCAAGGGCGTTGACTGCAACAATATGGCAAAGCAAAAAATTGAAAGCAACACAGTGAGACAATATAAAAGCTAACAAAATCTAAGACGAGAACAAGGAAATCAAAAAAAAAATTAAACCAGAATGAAAGTCAACAAGCAAATTGGAAAGTAGGACAAAGCAAAGCTACGCCCGAAAACCAAGAGCCAAGGAACAGAATGAACAACCAAAAGGAAAGCAAACCAAAAAAAGACAAAGATGAAATGAACAAAGCAGAGCAAAGGAAAAGGAGCAGTAGAGAAAGCAAAACCAAGTAGAAAAAAGAAAGCAAACCAATGTGATGCAATGGAAAAACAGACACAATAAACGGAAAGACAAAGAACCAAAGCCCACCAACAGAACAGCAAAGCAATGGGATTCAATGTGACAGCAAAGCAAAGGTGACAAGAGACTGCGGTGCCGGCAAAAACTCACCATCCGTGCCTGGGAGGAGGTCAGGGTAGCTACTGGGCATGCTGCCACCTCCAGCAGAGATGCACGTCCTCAGCTGGTGCCCGTGGAGGAGTCTGCGGCTGCAAGCAGGACAAAACATCTCTCTGGAGGAAGGGAAAGCGCTGGTGGTCATGCCGAGGAGGAGGTCAGGGTAGCTACCGGGCACGGATGCTGCCAGGCATCTGAAGAAAAGCCTCAAGTCCACACTGAGGACAGAGGCAAGGACAGGGAGGATGTAAAAATGAACCGACCAGAAGGCTAATGTCAGGTAAGTAAAGGCAAGGTAAGAGGAAGGAGGAAGAATCTAATGAAAGTAAAAGGAAAAGATGAGAACAGAGAAGGCATACTTTCAGAAAGCAAAGGCATGGTCTGGAAAGAAAAAGAACCAACCAAAAAGAAAAATAAGCACTAGAAAGCAAAGCCAAAGGAGCAGGAAACAAAAGCCAAAAGGAAAAGAAAAAGAGCAAAGTAAACAAAGGGAAAAAGTACCAAAAAAAAGCAAGGGCGTTGACTGCAACAATATGGCAAAGCAAAAAATTGAAAGCAACACAGTGAGACAATATAAAAGCTAACAAAATCTAAGGCGAGAGCATGGAGGAAAAAAAAAGTAAACCAGAGTGAAAGTCACAAAGCAAGTATGAAAGAAGGGCAAAGCAAAGCAACGCCCGAAAACCAAGAGCCAAGGAACAGAATGAACAACCAAAAGGAAAGCAAACCAAAAAAAACAAACAAAGATGAAATGAACAAAGCAGAGCAAAGGAAAAGGAGCAGTAGAGAAAGCAAAACCAAGTAGAAAAAAGAAAGCAAACCAATGTGATGCAATGGAAAAACAGACACAATAAACGGAAAGACAAAGAACCAAAGCCCACCAACAGAACAGCAAAGCAATCGGATTCAATGTGACAGCAAAGCAAAGGTGACAAGAGACTGCGGTGCCGGCAAAAACTCACCATCCGTGCCTGGGAGGAGGTCAGGGTAGCTACTGGGCATGCTGCCACCTCCAGCAGAGATGCACGTCCTCAGCTGGTGCCCGTGGAGGAGTCTGCGGCTGCAAGCAGGACAAAACATCTCTCTGGAGGAAGGCAAAGCGCTGGTGGTCATGCCGAGGAGGAGGTCAGGGTAGCTACCGGGCACGGATGCTGCCAGGCATCTGAAGAAAAGCCTCAAGTCCACACTGAGGACAGGGGCAAGGACAAGGAAGATGTAAGAATGAACCATCCAGAACGCCAACTACAGGTAAGTAAAGGCAAGGTAAGAGGAAGGAAGCAGCCATGGGGACGAGGAAGGAGGAAGAACGTAATGAAAGCAAAAGGAAAAGAGGAGAACAGAGAAGGCATACTACCAGAATGCAAGGGCATGGTCTGGAAAGAAAAAGAACCAACCAAAAAGAAAAATAAGCACTAGAAAGCAAAGCCAAAGGAGCAGGAAACAAAAGCCAAAAGGAAAAGAGCAAAGTAAAGGGAAAAAGTACAACAAAAAGCAAGGGCGTTGACTGCAACAATATGGCAAAGCAAAAAATTGAAAGCAACACAGTGAGACAATATAAAAGCTAACAAAATCTGAGACGAGAACAAGGAAATCAAAAAAAAAATTAAACCAGAATGAAAGTCAACAAGCAAATTGGAAAGTAGGACAAAGCAAAGCTACGCCCGAAAACCAAGAGCCAAGGAACAGAATGAACAACCAAAAGGAAAGAAACCAAAAAAAGACAAAGATGAAATAAACAAAGCAGAGCAAAGGAAAAGGAGCAGTAGAGAAAGCAAAACCAGGTAGAAAAAAGAAAGCAAACCAATGTGATGCAATGGAAAAACAGACACAATAAACGGAAAGACAAAGAACCAAAGCCCACGATCAGAACAGCAAAGCAATGGGATTCAATGTGACAGCAAAGCAAAGGTGACAACTGCGGTGCCGGCAAAAACTCACCATCCGTGCCTGGGAGGAGGTCAGGGTAGCTACTGGGCACGGATGCTGCCAGGCATCTGAAGAAAAGCCTCAAGTCCACACTGAGGACAGAGGCAAGGACAGGGAGGATGTAAAAATGAACCGTTCAGAAGGCTAATGTCAGGTAAGTAAAGGCAAGGTAAGAGGAAGGAGGAAGAATCTAATGAAAGTAAAAGGAAAAGATGAGAACAGAGAAGGCATACTTTCAGAAAGCAAAGGCATGGTCTGGAAAGAAAAAGAACCAACCAAAAAGAAAAATAAGCACTAGAAAGCAAAGCCAAAGGAGCAGGAAACAAAAGCCAAAAGGAAAAGAAAAAGAGCAAAGTAAACAAAGGGAAAAAGTACCAAAAAAAAGCAAGGGCGTTGACTGCAACAATATGGCAAAGCAAAAAATTGAAAGCAACACAGTGAGACAATATAAAAGCTAACAAAATCTAAGGCGAGAGCATGGAGGAAAAAAAAAGTAAACCAGAGTGAAAGTCACGAAGCAAGTATGAAAGAAGGGCAAAGTAAAGCAACGCCCGAAAACCAAGAGCCAAGGAACAGAATGAACAACCAAAAGGAAAGCAAACCAAAAAAAACAAACAAAGATGAAATGAACAAAGCAGAGCAAAGGAAAAGGAGCAGTAGAGAAAGCAAAACCAAGTAGAAAAAAGAAAGCAAACCAATGTGATGCAATGGAAAAACAGACAATGAAGGGAAAGACAAAGAACCAAAGCCCACGAACAGAACAGCAAAGCAATGGGATTCAATGTGACAGCAAAGCAAAGGTGACAAGAGACTGCGGTGCCGGCAAAAACTCACCATCCGTGCCTGGGAGGAGGTCAGGGTAGCTACTGGGCATGCTGCCACCTCCAGCAGAGATGCACGTCCTCAGCTGGTGCCCGTGGAGGAGTCTGCGGCTGCAAGCAGGACAAAACATCTCTCTGGAGGAAGGCAAAGCGCTGGTGGTCATGCCGAGGAGGAGGTCAGGGTAGCTACCGGGCACGGATGCTGCCAGGCATCTGAAGAAAAGCCTCAAGTCCACACTGAGGACAGAGGCAAGGACAGGGAGGATGTAAAAATGAACCGTCCAGAAGGCTAACGTCAGGTAAGTAAAGGCAAGGTAAGAGGAAGGAAGCAGCCATGCGGACAAGTAAGGAGGAAGAATCTAATGAAAGTAAAAGGAAAAGATGACAACAGAGAAGGCATACTACCAGAATGCAAAGGCATGGTCTGGAAAGAAAAAGAACCAACCAAAAAGAAAAATAAGCACTAGAAAGCAAAGCCAAAGGAGCAGGAAACAAAAGCCAAAAGGAAAAGAGCAAAGTAAAGGGAAAAAGTACCAAAAAAAAGCAAGGGCGTTGACTGCAACAATATGGCAAAGCAAAAAATTCAAAGCAACACAGTGAGACAATATAAAAGCTAACAAAATCTGAGACGAGAACAAGGAAATAAAAAAAAAATTAAACCAGAATGAAAGTCAACAAGCAAATTGGAAAGTAGGACAAAGCAAAGCAACGCCCGAAAACCAAGAGCCAAGGAACAGAATGAACAACCAAAAGGAAAGAAACCAAAAAAAACAAACAAAGATGAAATGAACAAAGCAGAGCAAAGGAAAAGGAGCAGTAGAGAAAGCAAAACCAAGTAGAAAAAAGAAAGCAAACCAATGTGATGCAATGGAAAAACAGACACAATAAACGGAAAGACAAAGAACCAAAGCCCACCAACAGAACAGCAAAGCAATCGGATTCAATGAGACAGCAAAGCAAAGGTGACCAGAGACTGCGGTGCCGGCAAAAACTCACCATCCGTGCCTGGGAGGAGGTCAGGGTAGCTACTGGGCATGCTGCCACCTCCAGCAGAGATGCACGTCCTCAGCTGGTGCCCGTGGAGGAGTCTGCGGCTGCAAGCAGGACAAAACATCTCTCTGGAGGAAGGCAAAGCGCTGGTGGTCATGCCGAGGAGGAGGTCAGGGTAGCTACCGGGCACGGATGCTGCCAGGCATCTGAAGAAAAGCCTCAAGTCCACACTGAGGACAGGGGCAAGGACAGGGAGGATGTAAAAATGAACCATCCAGAACGCCAACTACAGGTAAGTAAAGGCAACGTAAGAGGAAGGAAGCAGCCATGGGGACGAGGAAGGAGGAAGAACGTAATGAAAGCAAAAGGAAAAGATTAGAACAGAGAAGGCATACTACCAGAATGCAAAGGCATGGTCTGGAAAGAAAAAGAACCAACCAAAAAGAAAAATAAGCACTAGAAAGCAAAGCCAAAGGAGCAGGAAACAAAAGCCAAAAGGAAAAGAGCAAAGTAAAGGGAAAAAGTACAAAAAAAAGCAAGGGCGTTGACTGCAACAATATGGCAAAGCAAAAAATTCAAAGCAACACAGTGAGACAATATAAAAGCTAACAAAATCTAAGGGGAGAACATGGAGGAAAAAAAAAGTAAACCAGAGTGAAAGTCAAGAAGCAAGTTTGAAAGTTGGGCAAAGCAAAGCAATGCCCGAAAACCAAGAGCCAAGGAACAGAATGAACAACCAAAAGGAAAGCAAACCGAAAAAAACAAACAAAGATGAAATGAACAAAGCACAGCAAAGGAAAAGGAGCAGTAGAGAAAGCAAAACGAAGGGAACAAAGGAAAGCAAACCAATGTGACCAATGGAAACAGAGACAATAAACGGAAAGACAAAAAACCAATCAGAAAGAAAAATAAGCAGTAGAAAGCAAATCCAAAGGAGCAGTATACAAAGGCAAAAGGGAAAGAAAAACAGCAAAGGAAACCGGGGGAAAATATTACAAGTAGAACAAGGGCTTGGGCTGGAAGAATATGGTAAAGCAAAAAAATCAAAGCAACACAATGAGACAGTATAAAATCTTTTAATGGTTCGATAGTTGTTCGGACCAGTTTATTATAAATCTTAATTATGGAGATAGGGAAGGGGAAGATGGATGCTATGATGAATTAGAGTAATGGGGAAGGGATTAAGGGCGATAGATAAGACAGAAAAGAAGAAGCAAGGAGTCTTTGTAGGCAGAGAGAGTGAGATAGTCACCAGCATGGATCCAGCCTGGTTCGTAGTTCAATCTTTGAGGCCTGGCATCATCCCCCCAGTGCTCTTTAACGAGGACTTGAAAGAAAATCACCGTATCAATACGAGGAGAGCACTGACTTGGAAACAACAGGATGGCTGCTGACTGACACCAGATAATAAATAAATTAACTAGTAAATAGCAAATGTAAACCTTCTGTAAGATTGTGAACCTGGAGTACACAGCCAGTGGGGAAACAGGGGAGGGGGGGAGGCAAGGGGGAGAAAACAGGGTCTAAAGGCTGTCATGATGCGTCCATAGGCGCGCTCCCGCTTGCAGGACGCCCGCCATTGCAATCGCGAATATAATCTTTTATCAGAGATACCGTCCTGACAAAATTACTTGGAGATTTTCAACAGCACTAGACTTCAAGCAATAAGGCTTCCACACCAAACCTTTTCAGAAAGCTAATTAAGAAGATGGCTCCCCTCACACATGCATCTGAAACAAGCTATCTTTCCAAGCGAAACATAGAATAATAAAACCTATCTGTGCCGGGGATGTGACGGCAGGGTTTTTCCCCTCCTGTCACAAGGAAATGCCAGATGTTCATCTGGCAATAATACCTCCGTTCAAACACACCTCTGGAAACCGTAACAGTAAAATATAAATCTATCCTAGAAGAGCTACGGAGGAAACAACTCCCAGGTCACCCTGTTGCCACTCACACCGTGTCACATAACAGAAGACACAGGGACGGGATCTGGCGGCCGTGCGGCTGCAGCCCGGCGGCGGGCGGCTTAGCGCAGGTAACACCCGGCCTGCGGCAGCGGCCTCCCCTCGTACTCGTTCCTTACTTCCTTCTTCCAGCTGTTGTGTACGCATCAGTCCAACTACGCTCATCTCACACACACACTCTCGCACCCCGGGCTCCCACCCGCAGCGGCGCCCCGCGTTGCGGCCCCGCCGGATGAGCGGCGGAGGCGGCCCGCAAGCCCGGCCCCAAGGCCGATGAAGGCCGCCCGGAGCCGCGTGGAACTGCAGGCAGCGGCCCGCCAGCCTCGTCTCCCTGATCTTCTCCTTCTTCTTCTGGTCCGCCTCCTTGCTGCCCCCCGCAGGCTGCTGCTGCTTCTTGGGGACGTGGCGGGACAGCCGCTCGGCTCCCACTCGGAGCCTGGCGGGGGCGAACATGCAGCCACCGGCCAGGCGCGAAGCGACTGGCTCGCGGGGCACGCCGGGACTGCGCCAAAGGCCCCGCCCTGAGGGAGGGCATCGGCAGCGATCCGTGGGGGCCGCCATGTTGGGACTTGGCTCCCGGGAGGGGGCGGAGTGCGCCTTCTCTCCGCCGCTCGGGCGTCCCGCGGCGCTGGCTGCGGTGCGGCTGCAGGCGGGCGTCGGAGAACAAGGAGAGAAAGGGGCGCGATGCAGTCGGCTTTCCCGCTCGGCTGTTAGCAGAGGGGCGTGAGGCAGACGGCTCGGTGCCGCGCGTGCTCGAGCTCCAGCAGCGATACCGCTGCGTGCAGGGAGCGGAGACGAAGCACGTAGTGGCGCTCGCGCATCTTTGCAGCTGTAATTTTTGCTGCTGTATGTTCCTTTTGCTCTTTATGAGGAAGGGAAAAGTAACCGAGAGAACGCTAAAAGGAAAAGAGACGCTTTATCTCGTATTGCCATCTTCCCAAGTGCACGCAAGAGAACCTGCAAGGGAAGGAGTGAGGGAGAGAAAGGCTCTCAGCTACAGCCAGGTGCAAAGCACCGCGTGCGCGGCCCTGCATTGCCCCTCCTCGGGTCAGCTGGGAAACTCGGCATTCCCTGAGAACTGCCCTAGAGGAGCAACTAAGGGACTGCGTTCCACCTCACTAGGACTGAGGGAAGGAACCCGCTGCTCCGTGGAGCATTCTGACACACGTGAACCCTGGCTACCGGGGGAACTGTGCTAAATAGCAGCCCTTAGAAATAAGCAGCCTTTTCTACAAGCAGAAGGTGCACCCTGCTCCATGCACTACACAGGGGTCAGGTTTAGCATGCCAACAGCTGCAGCCTGCCTGAGAGCAGACAAGCACTACAACCAAGGCTGCCTGTGAGCTTTGCTTCCTCAGGGAGCACAGAGTCCTGCAGAGCAGCTCTTCTTCCACTGGGACAAGTTATCATCAGTGCACTCCTGCAAGGTCCATTCTCCCTCCAGCAGATACCAGTTTAGAGTCAGTTCTTCCTGTAAGTACCAGTTCCGAGGAGAAAAGGCAGCTCCTACTTGCCTAGAAAGAACCTTACCTTCTTTGTTTTGTTGGTAAGGGAGCTTTTGGTAACCCCCTCATAACATTACACAGCTGTATCCTTCCTTACATCCTGATCCATAAAGCTCCATATACAACCAAAAGCAGATATTCAAATGCTTCTTTTGGTTGTTTATTTACAGTATTGCAATATCTCCTTTTACATTCCTAAAATATGTTGAGATTTCTATTATGATGCTATCCCCCTCTATCTTTGTTTTCTATACAAAGAAGAATATTTTCCATGAGAAGAAGCTAGCATCCCACAGAGGATTTTATAAGATAAAGTGAAACATAATTGGTTAATTAGGAGACTTAATTGGTTAATGAAGGTGGTGTTGGTCTGGCTATTAGTAAGAGCTGCCTATATAATGTTATGTAATGCTATGTAATGCTCTTTTCTTAGAGGGTGGGATATATGTATGTTTGTATAGATGTATGCGTAAGTAGATTTATCTGTTGTTTTTATATTGATAAGCTTGATAGTTTATGTAAAGTTATTATAGGTATGTGAGTGTTTTGTAATTTTCTGTTTCGTTTGTTTGTTTGTGTGGTGGAGTGAGGGTGATAAGTTCTGAGATCAGTTTATCGGAGACCTGAACCAGCTTTGTATGAGAGGTTGTTCCTTTTGTTGGATGGGGATCACATCTTCTCATGTTGGGGTCCAAAAGCTTGGAAATGTCGAGTTGATTGATGTTAATGAAATTTGAGTGTTTATTTGTGTTTCTCCAGTCGGAGCAGTTCTAATTTTGTGCTTTCTAGTAGTAGTAGTGATTTGGAGATAACTATCTTAATAGTACTGGATGAGGATGATTTCCTTAACCACTTATTCTTCTCAGAGCGTAATATTTAAAGTGTATTGTATGTGTAAGTTCTTGAGGTGTGAATCATGACCTTAAGGGGAAAAAAATTTTCTAAATACATGACTTAAGAAGAAAACAATTTATTTGTATGCAAATAAATTGTCTGAAAACAGTTATTTCTTCATCTTTTGTTTTTGGGTAAGGTTGGATGAGGAAAATAGCCTAAATACATGCCTGCAAGGTGTTAATTATCACAAGCCTCATTGTAGGCATTGTCTTAAATCCTACTTAAAAGAAAGGCAGACTTTTCTTCTATGTTCCCCTATACAAAATTCATCAAAGCTGTTCTTAGGACTTAAAAGGACACTGAGTGTTTTCTGCCTTTGTGTGCAAGTGTGGGACTATTACAATGAGCTCTGCGTGCTAGGGTTTCTTCTTTATCTTTGGGCCAGTATTATTTTTGCTGCAATATCAGGTGTATAATCATTGAGTATTAATGAACTTAAAAATGACGATGCCTCGTGACACATGAAAAAAGAAGTATCTTTTGTGTTTTTTCCTTTCTACTTTTTACTTACAATGTTTTAAACTACTTCGGTGGCTTTCTTTAGCTGTTTAACTTGTCTTATTCCACAGAGTAGCTAATTGCTTTTACAGATTCCTGGTTTTAAGTCTTCTGTCCCCATAAAATGGCAGGAATTAGGCTCATG